TGCAAAGACCTCAAGTTGTGAAAAAATCTTATACAGATTTTAAGGTGAATTCCTAGATCTTTCACATTCCGTATAGAAAATAAGTCTTTTTTTTTTAGAATCCCTTCATTTGTGTAACAATAGATGTCATCCCATGACCTTAAACTCATTTTCCAGTTTTCCTTTGCCGTGTAACAAGTCAATATCTCACTTTAAAAGAATCTGCTTCTCTGAGACTAATCAGAGAGCAGAGATGGGGCTGTAGTATAGCATGTGGTTCCTACATGACAGCATATGTAGGACAGGAACAGGGATGTTGAGGATCAGAGCAGCAGATCATTTGTGTCTGATGTGACCTGGTGCTCTCCATGGATGTTATGGGCTTCAGCCCCTTCCCTCAAGGGCCGAGGAGACAAAGATCCTTCGCACCTATTCGTGGCAATCTAGCTGTACTCAATTTGGGCTGGGAAGCTACAATTGCAATTGTCTAGGGATTGTTTATTGATCATAACAATTACTACCACATCATTAGTCATTAACCTACTGTTTTACTTACTAAAACTTACTAGAAGGGTCTTATTATGTTAATAATTAAGTATTTTTTCCTCACAAGCTATACCCCTTCACAAAAAAAAATCTATCCAATATGGAAACAATTGATCAATTAAAGTAAATTTAAAGCATAATAAATCCTTGCCAGCTAGCTTGTTTCATGAGTCTTCTGCATTTATATTCATTTTTCCAGCCTTGTCAACTCTTAGATATGAAAAACTCTTAGGATAGAACAATAGCACAGTGGTAGGGCGTTCGCCTTACAAGCGGCCAACATGGCCGACCCGAGTTCGATTCCTCCGCCCCTCTCGGAGAGCCCGGCAAGCTACCGAGAGTATTTGATATGCCAGACACAGTAACAACAAAGTCTCCAATGGAGACGTTACTGGGCCCGCTCGAGCAAATCGACGATCAACGGGAGGGCCTTTACCTTTTACCTTAGGATAGAAAAATGGGGGAGGTTTTGCTAACCAAAGAACATGCATTATACCATAGAAAAATAGCTATCATAAGTCTAAGCATAACAGAGAAAAAAAACTTTCACAGAAAGAGTTTTGAGTCACAACTGTTCTTTTTTCAAATGGATTTACCTTCCATTTACCTTACCATCCTCCTTAAAAATGAGATATGTTAAGTCTAGAAGGAAATGCCTCTGATAATTTTGGTCTTCAGAGATCTTACTTGAAACTGTAAGGAATGAATTAGTGGATCTGGTTATTTAATTGCCATTGCTCTAACAACCAATTCAGTTATTTACATTCTATTTAAAATAGGGGATCCTCTATCCACAATTAATCTTCATGCAAATTGTGATCTTGTTTTATAAGTAAATATACTTGATATACAGAATCTCAGAGGTTGAGACAATGAAGATTATGTTGAGCAACTAAATAACAAAGAAATTATTTTGAAACCAAAATTCTAAGACACTGATCCTGGTCACAAGCTCTGAATCCATAGAAGATCTGTTCATTATTTTTTAAAATCTCACTGCATTTGCTCCAATTTTATTTTCATATTAAGTTTCATTAGAATGAAATCAAGTATAATATGAAGGCAGTAACATGAGTTCCTTGTGTGGTATGCTGCTATCTTTATTTCACAAAACAATAAAAGAAGGAAGGAGGAGTTAAGGAGGGGAGGTTAGATGAAGAAAGAAGTTTGAATGAAAGGAAAGAACAGAAAAGAGTAAAGGGAAGATGTTTCAAGTGCTCTGTTGAAAGCAAGCCACATCCAGGGAGATTCCACAGTTTTCACCCAACAGTTTTCCAACTGGGTCCATCATCAGAATTACTTTGAGAAAGTCAATGGTTTTGTTTAAAAAGGTTTTGAACTTTTGGTAGTTCAATTTTTTTAAATGTCCAATTTATTTTTAATTGTTTTAATTATTATTTTTAGAGGAGTCATACCCAGTAATACTCAGGGGTTACTTCTGTTAAGCTTGGAACTATGGGTTCCCAAGCAACAAGACGGACAGAAACACCTACTTGATAATGCAAAAGCAGTAGGAGTTTTATTCCAATATACTGGGGTCAACTATCTCACCCACAGAGTGGTCTCTTGATAGCAACCCTGACTTCAGGCAGCAAGCAGTTTATATAGGGTTTGATTATATAAGCAGCACATGACTTATTGTTTCAGGAAAAAAAAACCCCAACCTAACCTAGTTACCAAACAAAGGTGTTTTGGCAAGTGTCTAGGGTAACAGTGGTCAGGCAATAGATAAACAATTGTTTCCAGTAATAGTTCATGGTTACATAAGCTACTCATTTCTTTAGGGTTAACAAAAGACAATTTCTGGGGCGTTTTACTAGGGTCATAGTGATTGACTGAGCCCACTTGCCGGGCCCAGGAACTTCCCCAGCTGGGTTCAGGTTGGCTAGTTACACATTGTTTTATTGCTGGGAAACTGAAACTATTTTAGTTCCCGTAACTGAACCTGCGGTCTAGCTAATTTTGCTGATTTCTGCTGCCTATCCTGGCATCGGTTTCACCCTTACACTTCTAGCTCTGCACTCAGTAATTACTCCTGGTGCTGCACAGGGGACAATATGGGATTCCAGGGATCAAACCCAGGTTGGCTTTATGCAAGGCAAATGCCCTACCTACTGTACTATTGCTCTGATCCCAATGTCCAATATTTTAATTTAATTATTCTGTTAGGAGAGAAAACCTACATACATTTTGTTCAGATGAGATGAGTTGGAAGGTTGATCGATATGCATTAAAATGACGGGTGATATTTTTAAAGTTACAAAACCAAGTTTTCAAAAATGTAGATATTAGAGAAAAAAGATAGTGGTTTAATGAAAGTAACTGCACAATAGAAAGCCAGATGATGTTAAAACTTGATAAATCTGGAAACAACAAGCTGCATGGATTGTGAACAATATCTGAGACAAGGAGACTTTGCAATTATAATCATGTTCACATTCTTTACATTCATCATTTTTTGTAAACAGTGACATCCAGATGACCCTGATGAGCAACCATATGAGAGATGCTTCAATTAATAAACACTCTCTGCATTCCAGTATGATTTTCCATATAGTGGTTGAGATGATTCTCAAGACTGATGAATCAAGTAATACTGATAGGAACAGATTATTTAGTGAAATAGGGAACTCAGAGGAATTAAAAATATGAACTGCTTATCTATGTCCATTCTGTAGAAATTAAATTATCTCTGACTTGAGACATTTTTGGCCATAATATTGTATTTAACACAAAGCAGGATCACAATGGCCAGAAACCAGGGACTGTTTATATACAGATGGAAGCTTTGGATTCCATATTCTCTTCTACTGGCTTATAGGTGTCCCTCTTTTACATCATGTCAATGGGCCATAACCTGCCAGCACCATTGGTAACAGGGAGCAGAGTTAGCAGAACCTTCTTCTTCTTTTAGATTGTGGTTGTTTTAGTTGCTGTTTTTGTGTTTTCTGATGTGTTATTGATTATCCTATATTTCAATGAAAGCAACAAGAGGAAGAGTTATTACTATCATCATGGTCAGAGTATTAATGTCAGCAAATGAATTAATAGGGTGATTGTACTGCTCCAGTTCAGTCAGAACATGGCAGGTCAGCATACAAACACAGGCCTTTGGGCATTAAGGCCTCCTCACATAATTCGTTTTCTTTTCCTACTTCTTCTTCAAGTAAGGGAAGAACAATTTGCTTCAAGATTATAAACTCGCCAGTCCTGAGTCAAGACAGCCAAAATATTTGTACAATGAGTAAGGTCATTGTTTCAAGAATATTCAAACTGAGAAAATTTAACAGAGAACTCCAAATTCTCTGACTTTCCTTCCCCCTTCCCAATCCCAGAACTTTATCAATCTCCTATTGATCATCTCTACCCCTGGGCTGGAGAGTCCCTGCACAGAAATTATTTTCTCTCCAGTACCTACCCAACCATTTCTGTCACATTTAAGGACTTCTTTCTCTCTAAGGTTTGGGTCTGAAAACTCCAGTCTAGAAAAAAAACTGGATTAAAGGTAAAAGAAATATTAAAGGAATAGAAACTCTATTCTATAAAGATATTAGAAACTGGGGACATTAGCAGTGGGAAATGTACCCTTACACTGATGAGGGGTTAGGTGTTGGAATATTGTACAGCTGAAACCCAATAATGCTTTGTAACTGTGTCTCTCATGGAGGTTCAATTTTTTTAAAAGGTAATAGAAATGTTTGCTATAATGCTGTACAGCAGCTGGTATAACATGCTTTGTTTTGGCAGTGAACAGGAAGTTAGTCTGCTTTAGTGAGAATTCCTCACCCCAACTTTTACCTAGAAATAGCTCTTCCTTGCTGTTCTGTGGGTTACACTCCAGCCTCACAGACCTGTCACTGCAGTCTAATCTGCAGTGTCCTAACCAAAGTACTGGCAGGGTCTTTGCAACTGGTTGTTTAATATTTGCTTCTTTTTCAATCTGATTACAGCTTTCTCTGGTCCCCTTTCGATTATGATACTTGTCCTAAGTTATATGTAAAAGTACCACACTATTGGTTCCTGGTACTTCACATGTCAGATACATACTTGGGGGCAGGAAGTTACTACCCTTCAGGCTTTAATAGCCTTCACGTGAAAGATAAATGAGGAAAATCTTTATATTCTGTATAAACACAAAATCAGTTTTGTATACTAAAAATAATTTGTCTAAAAATTTAAATTGTTTTCAAATAAAAACATATTTTCCATATGCAAAAAATAGAAATATTTGCTACAGCAGTAGTTTCTCAAACAAAAGAAGTAAAGTAATGAACATTATGACTGAAATATTGTCAATGAAATCATTAAACATATTTGATTGTAAGTATAAAGTAGTTAAGATAAATATTAATTAGACAAACTTATCTAGAGATAAAGTATGAAGAAACCAAGACAATATTTCTTTATCAATGGAATTTCTTCTATTAGTTAGTGTCTCCCAAATGTTGATCTTTCTCTTTCCTTGTAGAGACACCCAGAGGGAAATGTCAGCAGGAAATCATTCCTCAGCAACTGAATTCATCCTCGCAGGGCTGACGGCTCGTCCAGAGCTCCAACTACCGCTCCTGCTCCTCTTCCTCGGAATCTATGTGGTTACCGTGGTGGGGAATCTGGGCATGATCACACTCATAGGCATTAGTTCCCACCTCCACACACCCATGTACTATTTCCTTGGTTGCCTGTCCCTCATTGATCTCTGCCATTCCACAGTCATCACCCCCAAAATGCTGGTGAATTTTGTGGCTGAGAAGAACATCATCTCCTACCCGGAATGCATGACTCAGCTCTACTGCTTCCTTGTTTTTGGTATTGCAGAGTGCCACATGTTAGCTGCCATGGCATATGACCGCTATGTTGCAATCTGTAGCCCCTTGCTCTACAATGTCATCATGTCCCCTCACATCTGCTTCCTGCTCACCATGGGAGTTTATATTTTGGGCATCATTGGCTCTTCAATCCATACAGGCTTTATGTTAAGACTGTCTTTCTGTAAGACCAATGTGGTCAACCATTATTTCTGTGATCTCTTCCCACTCTTAGAGCTATCCTGTTCCAGCATACACATCAATGAATTGTTGGTTCTCTTACTGAGTGCATTTAACATCCTAATACCTGCATTAATAATTATTTCTTCCTACGTCTTCATCATTGCCAGCATCCTCCGCATTCGCTCTGCAGAGGGCAGGTCCAAAGCCTTTAGCACCTGTAGCTCCCACGTAATGGCGGTCATGATCTTCTATGGCTCTGCAGCCTTCATGTACCTGCAGCCATCATCTGTGAGCTCCATGGACCAAGGAAAAGTGTCCTCTGTGTTTTACACCATTGTCGTGCTGATGCTGAATCCCCTGATCTACAGTCTGCGGAATAAGGATGTCAAGTTAGCTCTGTGGAAAATTCTGGACTGTAGAAAGCAATTATGAAAGGAGTTATTATCATGTTGTCACACCACAGACAGACCTTTATTATGCAAAATGGGATTTAACAGCCTTTTGCTTGACAAATATTGAAATTGAGTATTGCTTCCCTTATGAAACTTCTTCCATATTGCCTGAGAGTCGCTTCCTAGATATTATATTAAAGTTATTATGTATAAAATTACTTATAAAACAATAAAGGATTATTGAGGATAAAAGGTTTGATTCCATTATCTATCCTTTATCTTCTTATTTAGCAAAAATTACTAAGACAGCAACACACCACCCAGTGAACTCCAATGTCACAAAACATAGTTACTGTCTTCATGTAGAATTTGATATGAGGATATTTAATAACCATTATAATGATGTTTAATAAGAAAGCAAATCTTGAGTTAATGGAAGGGCCATGAAAAACTGAAAAGGTCTTCTATAGATTCAAGCTGATGAGCTGAAATTTTTCCCGAGGATATTTGTTTCATGATAGCTCCTCTGTTATCTAGCTGTTCAAAATAATCTTCACAGTCTTCACCTCTTGGGTTCTAAATAGTAAACATATTTATGTTACCCATAAATACCCATAAAGTGGTAGAGAGCCACTGGTGTGCAATTTTCCCAGGGGATTTTATCTCCAGTTCTGGCCTTTTCATAGAAATTTGAGAAGAATATATTTTTGTTGTTGTTTTTGTTTTATAAAGGGTCAAGTCTCACATGTAGCAAAAATTCAAAATATTTCAAAGAATTTCAAAGTGCAGTCAATCAACCAAGATGCTGAGTATGCCTGCCATTTGCCATATATATATCCATGTCACAGTATCTGGTCACTGGAAAGAAAAAACTCCTGGCATTTCTAACCACACAATGGATTGGAGTGCATGAGACTAAGTGGATAAAGTGAGAGAAACACACGTATAAAATAATAACTCTTATGTGTGGAACCAGAAGGGATCTAAAGGAGCCAAAACTCATGAAACAGAGTGGTGGTTATCATGGGCACTAAGGACATACTTGTTTGGGCACACGTTTCCAGTCATCAGATGAGTTTGTTCTAATAAGCTAAGGTATGGTGGCTATATTTCATTATACATCACTCTGTATGCTTCTCAGAAAGTCATTTCAAATGTCCTCACCACAAACAAATGGTAACGTGGGACAAGGCTGAGACATGAAGTTAGTGGTGGTTGTCCAATGACAAATTGGGGAGATAATTGGTTTTAAATATTTAGGTAAACCAATACAACCCCAAACATCTTTAGCATAAGCAATGTTTTACTTCATTTTTTATGTCTCAAAGTTTGGAAAAAGGTCATCTTAAGGGGCTAGAGCTATAGCACAGTGGGTAGGGCGTTTGCCTTGCACAAACCCAGGTTAGATTCCCAGCATCCCTGAGCACCACCAGGAGTAACTCCTGAGTGCAGAGCCAGGAGTAACCCCTGTGCATTGTCAGGTGTGATCCAAAAAGCAAAAATAAATAAATAAATAAATGAAAGGTCATATTAATGACAAAGTGTATTGCAAATTTCATCTCCAAATGTGATACTGCTTAGTATTTTGAATCAAATAATAAATCTTGTTCCACATTCTAAAAGAAAATTTTAATTATTTTCACAGTATCTTGGGCTGGAGCTTTAGCACAGCGGGTAGGGCATTTGCCTTGCGTGTGGCCGACACAGTTTTGATTTCTCCACCCCTCTCATATAGCCCTGCAAGCTACCGAGAGTATCTCGCCCACACAGCAAAGCCTGGAAAGCTACCCGTGTGACGTATTCGTTATGCCAAACACAGTAACAAGTGTCACAATGGAGACGTTACTGGGCCCGCTCGAGCAAATCGATGAACAATGGGAGGACAGGGACAGTGACAGTGACATAGTATCTATAACATTTAGCTCTATAGTATTCCTCAAACATATATTTCTTAATTTGAGAGAGATTTTTCTTTACAAGACCTGCTAAGAACTTTTCATGTGGTTAGGACAGTATCTAGCAGGGGCTTTAATGCAGCCCAGGTTAAAATATTCCTAATATTACTGTTTTATGAGTACTTCATAATAAGTGCTGGAGCGATAGCACAGCGGTAGGGCGTTTGCGCTGTGCGCAGCCAGCCTGGCCGAGCCAGGTTTGATTCCTCCGCCCCTCTTGGAGAGCCTGGCAAGCTACCGAGAGTATCTCACCCCCACAGCAAAAGTCTGGATTCAATATGCCAAACACAGTAACAACAAGTCTCAAAATGGAGACATTACTGGGTCCGCTCGAGCAAATCGGTGAACAACGGGAGGATAGTGTTTGTTTGTTTGTTTGTCATCATAAGTAGGACTAAAATATGTCAATACTAATAGAAACATTTGCATACTTCATATGGAAACTCCCTTTGAAATAGTCTTATCGAATAAAGTTAAAGTTTCCTGAACTTTTGAACACCCTATTGTTATCTCCACTGGGGATATAGCAGCATATATCATATTCATGTCTCCAATTAGTACTCAGCAGGAACAATGGATCACTCCTATGTGATACCACTGAACCCTGGAGAATCAATGGGGGAAAGGGAAATTCTAATTGTTTCTTTCCCCAAGAGTGGGTGCTTGTGGGATGAGAACCTAGAGGGAGGTCATTATCATTGTTCGCTCCTTCTCAGGCTCTTAACATCAGCACCCAGAATATAAAAACATAACATCATTTAACCGCCCCATGCAGAGGACCACCCACTTCACAGAGATCAGCACCAGTGACTCTCAGCATTTCCCATGAAGACAATTGGGCTATGAGCCCTGGGCACCAAGGAGTTCTGAAGGTTAGTACTTGGAACTACACCTGCATCAACAAAGGAATGTTTCTTTTAGAGAAACAGATGAAAAGTGCATATAACTGAGCCTTTAGGGGTCATGAGAGATCTGTCTGAATCGTGGCCCTGGATTTTCCAGCTGATTCCTCTCCCCCAGCTCCCTTCAGGCACCAGAGATGCACATGGGCACTGACTGGTCTCCACTGTCTTCACTCTCACCTTTACTCTCTTGGTGAGCAAAAGCTCTCATCCTCTCCCTGTCCTGGCTGAATAACACAAGGACAAATAGGATTTTATTCAGACACTTAAACTCACATATGTGATGGCTTTATTTGCCGTATTGAGCCCACAGTAGCTTATAACAGACTTTCTGTAGTTTTATTAATAGCATTTGTTGAGGCTGGCTGTAGCTTAGACACAATGCCAAGCACTGTGTTTACTTTACAATCTTACTCCAGAAGAAATGTTCATTCCAAAGAGATAGCAAAATTAAGTGCTTGATGCATTACTTCATGTACACTTGCCAAGAGTAAATATAAGAATTATATGGCCCCTGGTATTGGTCAGGGAAAGAGGGCATATAGAAGCTGTGGCTTTAATTTACAAAACCACACTTCCAACTCTGCCAGCACCTGGTCATGGAATTGCCCCCGCTCCTTTCAAAAGAGAATTGTTTCCTCAGGCATACAAATTTGTTTTATTAACTAGGGGTTTCATTATGAAAGCTACTAAATAAACTAATGAAGTGATTTCATAGTATAGAACAGAGTGGAAGAGAATCTTGATTAAGAAATTCAACGTTTTTAATGCCCAAAAGTAGAGAGAGAACATTGGGGAAATTTTCTGCCCTGGAGGCAGAGAGAACACTGCGATGGGGGATGGAGATATACTGGGGACATTGGTGGTGGAGGGTGTGCACTGGTTGAGGGATGGGTGTTCGATCATTGTACTGCGGAATCTTGAACATGAAAGCTTTGTAACCATCTCATATTGATTCATTATAAAAACAAAAAAGTAATGTGGAGTTCATGCCAATTCAATCAGCTTAATCAGTGGGTGAATAAGAAGCAGTACTTTTACAGTACTTTTACATTTAAAAAAAACTTCAATGTTTAAAAAATTAAAGGCTAGGGTCAGAGATATGCCAGAGGGTATAAAGAGTATGTGTGTCCTGTCCATGGCTGGCCCTGGGGAGATACCCAGCACCTTCATAATCACAAATTTATTTTTATTGATTTTTCTGATCATTCTATTTCTGGGCTGGAGCGATAGCACACCAGGTAGGGTGTTTGCCTTGCACATGGCGACCCACCTGACCCGGGTTCGATTCCTTGGCCCCTCTTGGAGTGTCTAGTAATCTACCAAGAGTATCTTGCCCACATGGCAAAGCCTGGCAAGCTACCCATGACATATGTGATATGCCAAATACAGTAACGAGTGTCACAATGGAGACGTTACTGGGCCGGCTCAAGCAAATCAACAGTGACAGCGACAATGACTGTGATTCTATTTGCTATTCCTTTAAGTCTTACTATACCAAGTAATAGGGGTAGGCTGGGGTGTAGGAGGAACCTGGGGATATTGGTGGAAGGAAGGGGATATTGATGTGGTATTGGTGTTAGAATGTTGTATGCCTGAAACAACTCTATTATGAACAACTTTGTAAATCACTGTGTCTCAATAAACATTTCTGAAAAATATTTTTATTATTAAAAAAGATTGCCTCGACCAAAAAAGATACCCAGTATCACAAATGATGCCCCTCTATGTATCTCAGACTGCATATGGCTATGTTTATTATAGATAGCATTAATTATTGTTATGGAGAGCCCGGCAAGCTACCGAGAGTATTCGATATGCCAGACACAGTAACAACAAAGTCTCCAATGGAGACGTTACTGGGCCCGCTCGAGCAAATGGTAAAATGAAAGTATTCCATTTGTCATGCATGCTTTTAAGGTATACATATAATAAATAGGAGAAACGAGGATTCCTGAAAATTGCAGTAATACTATCCACATTGTGGTGGATTAATACAAAGCAAATATGGGGCCTGGAGCAATAATGCAGAGGGCAGGGTACTTGCCTTGCATGTGGCTGACCTGGTTCAATCGCCAGCACCGTGCTCATGATGTACTGAGCACTACTAAGAGTGATCCCTGAGCGCAGAGCCAGAGTAAGCTCTGAGCATCACTCATTGTGAGCCAGTAATCAAAATATAT